TAGTGATGGAGCTTTGATTGGAGCTACCATACTCGATTTAGTAAAAATCACCTCCACACTAGTGTCAATTTATCTTGATGATCAAATCAAACGATGAGTATTGCTTCTCCAAGTTGGCGTCCAAATTTTCCTATGCCTAGTTTGAATCTAGAATCGTAGATTCAATTTCTTGAAATTTTATAGTTTAATTTTGATTGTCATTTTATGGTAACTTGAGGTGGCTTTGACATTATTATTGGTATTTGAAATTAGAACAAAAGAAACTATAACTTTCAACTTTCTTGAGGAATTTAACAATTATAGTTTTGATTTTAGCTTGTGCCATCATTGTAACTTTTGCTTGGTTAGGGTCCATTGACGTGGTTGATTCCTAGTGAGATACTACCAATGGAGAGTTGATTGATAGGGCAAGGGATATGTATAACCTTCAATTTTGCAATAACATTCATTCTATTCCAAACATTTTAGCAGTGCTTTATCATTTCATATATGGCGTGTTTTTATCTTATGTAGCACGGGTTGTGATAATGACATTTTTTATAGCTTTTTGTATGCTAGGAACCAAAGGGATTGCATAAGGATCCATGGATGAAGATTAAAAAAGCATTGGTATTAGTATCAATGTATTGAGGGAGAAGGGTAAAAAGCTTAAAAAGGAAGAAAATTGATGAACTCCAATAGACAAAGGAATAATTGAAATGATCAAGTTGAAACCTACTATTAGCTTAACAAATCCTTGAGTAAATCCATATACCCTCCAAAACTTAAGTTTAAATTGTTAGTAGTGATTAGTTTTTACACTTATATAATATTTTCAATCAAACTCTACTTTCAGTTTGGGATTGGGGCAGTATAATAATTTTGAAGTCTTGAGTTAGTGGAATGTGTTATGATTGAGTGATAATTTTGCATCATTTCTTAATTGGAGTTTAGTGGCATAGTTTATTTGCATTGTTAGATTTGATTTTAAGTTTTGTTGTTACGTTTATTGTAATTTGTTGAAATATTCCTTGTATTCCTTATTAATAAAAAATATTTTTTTACCGATGCATAGGAAAAAAAATTCTTCAATTTCAAAAATAGTTACTTGCACAAACCAAGTTGTTAAGGCCAATAAATTTACAAGTTCTACACTAGAATTTAATTAGAAGTTTCTTCATCTAATTTTATGATAACTTAAGTTGTAAATTTGGTGGCCATAACAATATAGTTTATGGTAATAATCATTTATTTCATGTATTTCACATATGTTATGAAAAGAATGCCAAAATTCTTGTATTTAATCTTATGACATACTCAAAAACTCTTTTCAACCTAATAATATTAATCTCCTAGTATATCTGTATTTCAATTTGTGCTCAACAAACTTGGCAAACTAAAACTTGTGTGTGCTATTTTGTTGATATGAACCTATACATGAGCATGGAGGAGAAAAAAAAAACACTATATATGATCCAATGTGAAAATTTTACCCTTAACTCTAATATTATTTGTTGGCAAACTTTTGTTCTTTGCTTTCATATGATTGTTGAATATTTAACACCCTTAAGGTCAATTTAATGTAAGGTCTTCATTAAAATGTTATACAAGTGAAATAAATAATAAAGGAAAATAATATAGAAGAAGAAAACTAAATTTAATGTATAAAATCTTTGCTATAGCTAATTCACTAATTAAGAGAAAAGTTGCAATGATTTGGTATTATGTGCTTATGAAGCTCTCAAATCTTAGTGGTCTAGTTTCAATATATTATCTCAAATTCTCCCCAAAAAAAGTCTCATGATATTTCTTGCAATCTTTATAACTAAGTAGAGAAAACACAACCAAAACACATAGATTACCCTTCAACTTTTCGAGTGTATGGAACTTTATCCCTCATCTTACAATATGTGATTTTATATCCTCTTGCTATTCAAGTTTATGATAATAAGACAATATTTAATGTTGAGTGGCAACGTGTAGCACATGTGTAGTTAATTTCTATGATACATGTATAGGTCAACAAGATGTAAGCATTTTTACACGTCGACGGTCTAGCTTATGAATTTGAGCGACCTCTCCAGGAAGAGTGAAAGAACTCAATGGTGAGATCAATGAGACTAATCTCTACAAACCTCGATTCCTTCACCTTATTGACAAATCTCCTTTGGTATGCAGCATTGGAGTAAACTCATCAACATTCTACTTCTCTTGTGAAGGGTGACAAGAGAACCAACGGAGACTCTGAGCACAGCAATGAGAGGAGGTCTAGTTGAAGGATGACAAGTCCTTCGTCGATTTCCCTATCGACATCCTCTTGGAAGTTGTTTTTCAAGATTTTGGGAATGGGTTTCCAATGATGCTCTATTGAGTTACTATTCATTTTTTGGGTTGTATTGTGCCCGTTTTGTCTTGGGATTCAGTTGATTAATTAAAGATTGTCTTTTAACGGTGGAGATGGGTTTGGGTTTGGCGTGTACGAGGCTTCCAAGTTCGTTGAGGCGTCGTAGAGTCGGAATGGGAATGACTGTTCGACAATTAAGCCATATGCTTCATTATGTCATCCATCTTTTGTACACATCGCTATGACATTGGATTTGGAGTACCTCTATGGGTCCCTCACCACCATGTACTCCATCAACCACCACACCTCTTATCCAGAAAACATCTTCGTTCAATTCATTGCGATGGAGTTCGATCCAACTAGTCCATAGCTTCTGAATTAAATAGTTCGATCAACCTTCCCATCGCTCAAATTCAAAGTTCATATCTTTAAAGAAAACAAAGTAATTAATCTGATTTCTTCCTCAATTCGTGAAGCACTCGAGAACCCACTAATTTGTTAATTTGTTTAAATATTTTTAATGTATTTAGTTTATTTCTCAAATATTCAATTAATCTTAAATAATATTAATTTTATTTAAACAATTACTAAGTGTCATGTGTCATTTAAAATTCATTTATTAATTTGTTTAAATATTTTTAAGTATGAAATTGAGTTACATGCCACATAACACTTGCCACATGGCTATTCTTTATGACGGTGGCACTAACTAGGAAAGACTTAACGGCAATATAACACGCAACGTTAAATTTTACTTTATTTTCATAAACTTAAAAAATTAAAAGGTAAAAAAATCATAAATTATACATTGAGGAGTAAAGTGCCTCATACTAAAAAAGTTGAAGGGTAAAGTGGGGGTTTTTTTGCCGAGAAAACACACCATGTTTATTATTGGAGAGTGGAATCTCTGTTACTTCACCTCAATGGTGATAAGATTTTATCAACAATGTTTTAAAAATCATATTGATAGGTAAGTTTAGCCATTGGTTTGTAATTTGATTGCATAGAGTGGTTTAATTATTGGTCTAAGTGGTGAAAAACACATTTTACACTTTAAAATTTTAAATTTAATTTTTTTTTAAAAAAAGTAAGTAACAAGACTCGAACCAAACCTTTAATAACTCAACTAAAAGTAACACCATTTTAACATAAAAAAAAAAAAATCACACCATCTTATCTAATAATTTTTAAATGTTAAGTACTCAAAATTTAATTTATTCCAAGAAAAATAAAATGTAATAACTATTTTTTTTTATATAAAATGTAATAACTATTAGTTTATAAAAGTTTAAATCAAAGTTGTTAATATGATACCAAATAAATTAGTGCATAATATTTTACCCTTAAAACTTTATAAAACATATATCAGTACAAATTAGTTAATTTTTTACTCATACTAATTGATTGTCATAATCCAACTTTTCTAAAATTTTTATGAAATTCTCAAACATGATATATATATGAAAATGTGAACAATAATAAAATTGGAGACAGCCAACATACCATTCTGTATTTCTACATTACGCTGTTATCACACAAGTGGTAATACCCTACCACTGTTATTCACGAGTAGTGATACCTTACCATTATCCTCCATGGCAATAGCGCATTTACTCCAAAATTCAATTATTCATGAAATTCAAAGGCACAAGCCTAACAGTATATTCCTTGTTCACTTGTGAGCCATAATAACCTTTCAATAACGGTAACATTTACACACACTCTTCCATAAATGAGCCTAGCAACCAAGCTTATGGATTCTACATCCATCTATGCGAGCTTTTGTTACACAACCCACGTGACTCCACACACTTACATATGAGGCTCAAAACAGCCCCACCAACTGTAATACCGAATGTTGGAGAGACTGAGCTGGTTGGAACCCTTGAATAAAGCCTAGTTGATAGAAATTAATATAGTTTAGGGTAAGGCAAAACAAAATTTTAACTCGAAATCCTTAACCAAGGATTCATAGAGCAACAATTATGATCATAGAAGTAATTTACTTATGCTAATAATTTAATCATTTTTCACGTTAAAGTTTATTTCTTTACATCTACAATTAGTTGTTTCACACTACAAGATTTAATCTTTTAATTTGACTCAAGTAACAACTTAACTAAGCTTAAATAAGGTTAAACCTATTTTTTTTCTTTTCTTTTTCTTGAACAGCATAGGATTAAACCAAAACTGGATTACAAGACAAGTGAAAATATTGAGTACAATTTATGTGAACTCATAAGAATATACCAACAAACCTCTAGAGTAAAGCTTTTAACCGGGTTTACCCATGACTCGTGAGTAGTTGACAAAATCTACTCCATTATTGAGCTTTTAATGAGTTTTCTTTGAACAACTCGCTCTTCTTATACTAGTTAAGCTCCCTCACTTGGACAAGCTTGGCTCATATAATGAACAAGTACACAACAAACAAAGGCTTAATCACTCAGATTAATAAGAGAGCTAAGCATTGAGTGTGTGTGTATATATATATATATATATATTTATCAGCCCTTTTAGTACCATGTCGGTTTGGAACACCACCTCCAAGGGGGTATTGAATGACACTTTGCAAAAACCAAACATTAACCTTATTTGATAAGTGTTTCTCATTCTATTCATATACTTTTGGCACGCATCCTACGTGTCAAGCAATTTCACACATTTAAAATAATCCAGAAGATAAGTAAATAGACGAAATAAATGTCTAGAAAGTAGAAATCATGGAATTCAGGCATAATTAGTTAAAAATCTACATCTAATTTTCACTCATACAATCACACGGCAAAAGTATCCACCCTAGTGCGGATCACAGTTTAAAACATTTACAAATAGATCATTAATTCTATTGGTTTCCCTCATATGTGAATTTGTCCATGAATCACTACATTCAAAATAGTTTCAACGATAACCAAGAGGAGCTGGTGCCTCTCTCAATTCCTTTCCCTGAAAATGAATATCCTGCATACAAGAATGATAAAAACTCCAATTACAGTCATTAAGATGAAACGAGATCTATACAGCATTTTGCTATTATGACATACAAGCAACCAGGGAAGAGAATTTATGATTTCAGACCAAAGAAAAAATAAAGGGGGAGGGAAGAATCAAAAGCAAAACTTACAAGTAGACCAAACGTACCCATCCCCATGGTGAAATTTTAAAAATATATACGTGCCCATCTAATCTTCAAATGCAAAAAATGTTTGATAATGAGATCAACACGGCTGTTGAACTCATCAAGTTAATCATATGATCAGTTCTTCATTAGCTTAGTGATGAAAAAAACTAGAAATAAAATCACAGTTAGTAAGTAATAATTTGAGACCTTAACAAAGAGTAATACTTACAGAAGCAAAATGATTGACATCCCGATGGTGAGCTTCATCAGCACGAATCACAGTAACAACATCCTTCAGGGTAGCATCTTTAGGTAACCTCCAATAGTCTATTGCAATAGCAGGGGCTGGAACATTTTTTATTGCACCACTATTAATGTCCTTTAAAAATTCTGTATATGAGTGAATTGCTTCCTCCTCCAAATACCCAACAATTCTATGCGCCAATTTGGGGGAGAGTATATAGAGAACAAAGAAGGCATTAAAGAATATTCCTTGCACAGTCAAAACCATAAGCCTCTCATACCATTTGGGTTGCACAAGCTCCACCATTGTCATCAAGTGCATTCTCTCATTTTCTGCTTCTTCGAGCAAAGCTTTAATCCAACCACCACTTTGCTGAAACTTGCGAAGAGACCTCAGGTGCAATAGCATCCCTCCCACCATACCAGGAACAGCTGCCACAGTTTCCAGCATCATAGCACGGCATCCATACCGTCTCTAAAATGCACAAGGTGAAATCAAATCCTAAACAAGTGCATCTGCAGGAATAGATTCTTCCTATAGGGAGACTTAAAAAACACTGCTTAGATTCTTTCAAGATCCATGCATTACCAAAATAGTCAATAAAAAGACCACTTAGCAAAACCATTACTAATGCAAGCATAACAATTGTGTAAAAAAATGCTAACAATATTTTAAAAAGGTCCAAGAATTAAAAAAATCCTCATCACTGCTAGGCTTTTCAATCCAGAGAGATACTCTTTTAGCCTTGTAGAAGGTCAACAGCTAAAATATATTCCTCACACAGCTCAAGCCTATTTTCAATCTGTTGTTTTTTGGAAAGAGAGCAAAGAGCAAAGTTATTCATATCCTTTTCCATTCAATGTCAACAGCATCAGCAGGAATATATTCTTCAGATGGGAAGACTTTAAAAAGAAAAAATCATTCTCCAAAAAAGAAGATGAGTTTTTATCGTAACATCCAACAATGCAGCAAAGACCACTTTGCAAGAACATTGATTAACAAGAGGAAAAAGAAATGTCTAATAAATGTCAAATGCTTTAGGAAGGTTAAAGAATTAAAGAAATTCTTTCTGGCCAATTAATCCAGAAACCATCCTAAAATTTCAAGGGACTTTGGTCAGAATGCTTGTGGGTGGGCATGTGGAATGATATTTGATCTTAGAGAGTGGAAAAAGGACATATCACAGGTGGCAAGACATGGTGAGTTATTCTTATTTTATGGCTGCATATCTACTTTAATCATAAGCATTTTAAATTTTACATTATAAGGCATCCATGCATCATGATATGCAAATCAATTCAAGAAATAAAGGTGGGAGACAGAAGGATCAGAAACAAATGAAAGAGAGAAGAATTTTTGAAGACGTGAAGTAAATAATTGGCCATTGAACATGCAACCATGTAAGAGATCAATGACCCAGGTTTTGTGTAGTCTTACACCTATGTACATGGATCCTAACTCAAATTAATAGTACAAGCAGTTGAAGAACTACAATAATAGAACACAGAAAGTAATTACCTGGAAAAATAGATCTGTGGGAACTCGAAGGATTTTCACTGTTCTGTATGCAACTTTATCAATAAAGTTCTTTGGGACATGGTGCTTAGTCAAATCAATGGATAGGTCAGCCCGGTCTGTTTCCCATGGCTATGTTAAAGCACAAAAAGAATGCCAATTAAGAATAGCAATATTTCCTTAACTAAATTAAAAATGCAGAGACAAAATACACATATAAGCAGTCAACCACATGGTTATGAACAATGAGCTTAACTACCTGTAATTATTGGCATGATCATTTTTGCTAAAATATGAAAATTGGTAAATTAGAGAGGAGGCGATTGCCTATTTAAAGGGTCATAAAATAGAAAGGTTTAAATGGACTGTCTCTAAAAAAAGTTTATTCATAAAATTAGAAAAATACTAATTCCTAATCCTAATAGTCTGAAAATTTTAAAAATTCTAGAAATAAAAAATGAAGTTGATCAATAAATTACCCACAAAGAAGATTTTAAATAACTTGGAAATTAAAAAAGACCAGAAAAATTATTACAGTTTAAAAAACTTAAAATTTTCTTTAAAAAGAATGCTTTTCTATAAGAAAAAGAATATTAACACAAGTTTCTATAAAACAAAATGAGATGGCATATTTGGCTGTGACCTAAAACTGAGTTCTCACTCATATCTAACTGCTACTTTTTCAAAGTGGAAAAATTCAGATTGACATTATTAGACAGACATCGCGGCACTCACATATCATTCAAAACTTTTCCAATTACTGAACAAGAGCGAATTATCCACCATTAACCAACTGCAGCTAAAATGAAAAAAAAAAAATAACAGAGAAAGGATAGTACCAAATTGGATATTAAAAATAACCAAACATCGTTGTTGAATTTGCATGTTCTTTAGTTGTTTTATTATTACTCTTTCTTCTTTTTTTTTACAGAGAAAATGATTAGAAGTTAGGTTAGTATCGCAAGGTTGAATACCGTTAGGTTGAATACCGTTAAGGTACAATCTACCCAGCTCTGTTGGACTACAGTAACCACTAATGCGCCATAACAGAAAATGCGTTCTATTATTACTCACCAGAGAAGATTTAACTTCTTATTTAACTATTCATAATAGAATTGACGTCAGGCCGTAGAAAAAAAAAAAGGAATGAAAAGGAAAAAGTAAGCAGCCTATTTCAATAGATCGCCAAGTATTGCCTCCACCCCATAATACACATAGCATCTTAAAAATAACTGGCAGCAAAATTACGAAGTCAAACAAAAATGTAAGTTAGGAAGAGAAAAACACATAAAAAATAAGTAAAATAGGAAATATCAAGTTGATCATAGAAACAACGATATTGAAATCTAAGAATATCTAAACGAGATGAAAAATGAAGTGGAAAGGATTAAGAGAAAAATAAACCATGAAACAGTTCCACGGCCACTCAGTGCCGTCCTCCCTGATGATCTTAGGCTGTGAGACTCCCCAGTAACTCGAAACTACTCGATTCTCCTTACTCCTCTCTTTCTCCGCACCAGAATTCTCCTTTTTTCCCTTGTCGTTCTGAAGAGATACCTTCTCCATCGATGCAGAGTCGCTCATCATCCTCCACCAAAAGCCTTCAAACGCCATGCCGCTCTCTCGTGCGCTTATCCCCACTGCAGGCCTTAATATCACCGCACTCCTCGCGCCGCCGCTAACATAACTCCGGCCGTTGATTAGCCTTCGCATCGCCGATCTTACCACAAACAGATTCATTTTCTGAAAATCAAGGCTAACAAAATGAACAAAACAATTATGAGTTCCGATTCTTTTTCCTTTTTGATTATGATTTGCCAAGAGCAGTCTAGTGGAGACTGGACAGGAGAAGAAAAAGCAATTATTAGGAAGCGCTATTATACGCGCTCAGTGGATAGTTAGCGGCCGTTTCTCCATGGAGAAAATGAAAAATTAACGGTTAGGATTTTGCGAGATCTACATACGATTATATCACTTCCATGTGGACCCTTTCTGCGGATTTGATTGTCTATTGGAACGCTCGAGAGTGGTGGTTGGTTCATAATTAGAATCCATACGGGAGAGTGGTAGATACTTGGAGTGGTTTATAAGTAATTTTCTTCTCTTAAATTTAAACTGTTTTTCAAAAAAATAAATTTTAAGGGGTAAGTTCTCTTTTTTATCCCTAACCTTTAGTTCCAGCTGGTCATCATCTCCAACGTTTTGTGAACCTATAGTCCATCCGTCATCATGAAATGTTTAATGTACTGATGGAGTTCCTAACATGACAATTAGTGGACCCACAACAGGCCCTTCAAGCGAAAATAAGTTGTCTTTACTTACGCACTTTTCACTTATAAATTTTATCTGAAAATATAAAGGGTTGATTTTTAATTAATTTTAATTAATTTTTTTAAAAATAAGATATCTTAATATTAAAAATATAAAATTTTTTAATTATAACAATTAAATATATAAGGTAAAACCATTAGTTATGCCCTTGAACTAATATCAGAATTGCTATTGAACTCCTAGATTTTAATTAATGCATATAAGCCCCTAAACTCTGTAATAGAAGCAATCTAACCCTTACTTTTATAGTTAACTTAAGGTTTAAATACCATTTTAGTACCTCAACTTTTTACTTTGGCACCAAAATTGTTCTTCAACTTTAAACAAATATTAAAATTATCCTTAAACTTTCATTTTTAGTACCGAAACAGTCTTTTCGTCAGTTAAATGACAGATATCATGTTAACTTGCTAGCAAATCAATTCTTTTTTTTTTTCTTAACTAATGAAGTGGAAAAACAAAAAAGCATAGTTAGTCATCCTTTTGTATGAGTTACATTTTTATTTAATTTAAAAATAATTATGTTCTTTTTTTTATCCACATCATATCTTTTTCCTCTTTTACTTTCTCTCTCCTTTACCTTTCCTTTTCCCTTACCTCTGCAAACCCAAATCTAGATTCTCTCTCAAACTTCATCTTCTTCCTCCTTTCCTCTTCCGTGTTCATCCTTCTTCTTTCTTCTTCTTACTCTTTCTCTCTCTCTCTTCTCCTTTCTTCTTCCTCTCCAAATCTGAGTTTTTCTCAAACCCAAATTAGATTCTGCCCCGCAAACTCTCGATCTGGGTTTGAGAAATTAGAGATCTCACCAAATTTATTCCAATCTGTTGTTGTAGAGAACCTTCAATATCTTCCTTTCAAGTATCTTTTCTCCAGGCAAACTTGCAAGATCCCGAGGCTGGTCATCGAGGAGAAACTCCAATGCTTAAGTCAGTATTTTTCTAATGAGTGTTCTCTTTTTACATTCTGTGTATTTATCGTACCTTTCTTTGTGGGTTTGTACATCTTGGCAAGGTACCTACGTGGCTTGCTCGTACTCATGTGGTTTGCCCATACCCACGTGGCTTAGTTAACACAATAATTATGACACGGTGTGCTTGACGGAGTAGATGTTTTAGGTGAACGTAATGTGCCTTAACAGAGTAACTGCATTAACTACGCGTGGTATGTTTTGACGGAACAAGTCCCTTAAGAAGGGAGACTCAGGTAAGGACAAATGATCGGGTAAGAGTGTTCTTATTGTAACTACCATATACTTGTGGCAAAGAGCCGAGGTGTGGCAAGCCTTGAGCTCTATCCAATGAATGGCAGAGAGCCGAGGTGCGGCAAACTTCAAGTTCTGCCCTGTGTCCTGTGTATACATGCCCTTACACAATTAGCGAAATAGAGATCAATTCTTGCTCCTCAAAACACTTTAAATTCGATAAATTGTAACTAAATTAGCTTATGTACTTACCCACTAAATTAGCTAAACCCATTTCCTTAATCCCCCAATTTAGAAATTGGCAAAACCAAAACCCAAGTGAAGTCTTCCACTCTGAGCCAGCACAGCCCTTCAATTAACGTTACCATTCCTTCTGCAACGGTGAAATTGAACAACTTGTTCCCTGCATCGGAGTCGAAGTCTCAAGAAAAGACCCACTATCGAGGTGTCAGGAGGTGGCCATGGGGTAAGTATGCAGCGGAGATTCGGGACTCGAATAAGAAAGGGGCTCGGGTATGGCTCGGAACATTCGATACCACCATAAAAGCCGCGAAGACTTAAGATAGAGTTGTGTTCAAGTTGCGTGGAAGCAAAGTGATTTTGAATTTCCTTCTTGAAGCCGGCCATAATAGCAATTCCATCGAATCAAAATTGATGGAGGATTCGAGTTCGAGAAAAAAGAGAAGGGAAGAGGAAGGAAGTGAGGAAAGTATCAAGGCGGTGAACAGAGAGAACTCGTTGGAACTTGAAGGAAGGAAGGCAGAGACGACGGGGGTGTGCTTAACGCTGTTGAACTAGACCGGGTTCTAAGGGAAGCAGATATTCAGTGTGTCACCATTGTCGTTGTTATCACCGCATCCTCCGTTTGGGTACTCTCGGCTTGAGGTTTGTAGAGGTAAGGGAAAAGGAAAGGTAAAGGAGAGAGAAAGTAAGAGAGGAAGAGAGATGACGTGTAAGAAAAAAAAAATCATTGCTTTTAAATTAAATAAAAATGTTAACTCATACAAAAGATGATCAATTATGTTTTTTTTTTTTCATGTCATTAGTTAAGAAAAAAAAATTGATTAGCTAATAAGTTAACGTGACATCTGTTATTTAATTGTACGTAATGATTGTTTTTTTTTTTTCATGTCATTAGTTAAGAAAAAAAAATTGATTAGCTAGTAAGTTAACGTGACATTTGTTATTTAATTGTACGGAATGATTGTTTTGGTATCGAAAATAAAAATTTAAGAATAATTTTGATACTTTTTAAAATTTAAAGATAATTTTAATGTTAAAGTGAAAAGTTGAGGGACCAAAATAGTATTTAAACCTTTTATTTTTTCTTTTCTTTTTTTTGCTAATATAGGAATAATTTTTTTTTTCACTTTTTATATAATTTTCACATGTTATTAAATAAATGAATACATTTAATATTATAGGTCCTAAATAAATAAACAGTTTTTCTAATTTGTACCTTTAGGGTACTTTTTTTTATCATAAATATATATGAAAAAAGCAAAAGTTGATATTAATTTTAGTGTTGTTGCTAAATAGATGAATTTAATTAGATAGTTGAAAAATTAAAAGTAAATTTTTATGTTTTAACACAAATTTATTTAAAAAAAATACATTTATTGCATTTTTAACTTGTACTCTTAGGGTATAGGTTCGATAAACTCATAAATAAAATAATTTAATTATTTAAATATCATATAAAATTATACAAAAAGTGATACAAAAACAATTGTTTCTAAATTTTTATTTTTTTTATTTTTTTGCATCTAGGTGACAAACCAAATGACAAATCCCTTGTCACATAGGCATGACAAGGCCATATTTTGCCACATGAGGCAGTCCTTGAACGGTAGTTAAGTTAGCTATGAGAGTAAGGGTCAAATTGTTTTAATTGTAGAGTTTAGGGGCTCATATGTATCAATTAAAGTTTAGGGCTCAATAGTGATTCCGGGGTTAGTTCAGGGCCTAACCTATGGTTTTGCCAATATATAAGATATAACGTTGATTTTAATTATTAAATTTATCAGGTTAAATGCTAATTTTGGCCCCTTAACTTTAACGTTTGCACAATTTTCATCTATCAACTTTTTTATGCATTTTTTTGGTCCTTTAACTATGAAAAAACATTTTTTAGTCTTTTCGTTAGTTAATATATTAAGTTTATTATATACATATATTTAATCCCTCAATTTTAAATTTAGGGATAAAAAATGTATATATATTATAAGTTGAAGGACTAAAAATATATAGATTCAAATAAACTTAATAGGTTAACTGATGAAATGACTAAAAATATATATTTTTTATAGTTAAAGAATTAAAAAAGTGCATAAAAAATTGTGAAAAACTTTAAAATTGAGAATCAAAATTAGCATTTAATCAATTTATTATTATATAACTATAATTAAATATTTTAATATTTTTAATGAAATAACAACAAAAAAATAAAAATTTAAAATTAATAACATGACATAACATACATTAATTAATTAATTAATATATACAACATTATAAATTAAAAAAATAAAAAATTTAATTATTAAATAATATAATATTTATTTTTTAATATTTTAATAACATTTACGGTTATTAATATTAAATTTTAATTTTAAATTTTTATTTCATTTATTATTATTTTTTTAATAATAAAACATCTTAATTTCCTCTTTTACTTAATGTTCTATATATATTTTTAATAATAAAAAGGTAAAAAAAATTTACTGTTACAAGATAAGACAGTACGATGCCATATCGCCCGAACGCTTTGTTTTTCTCTTATCTCCACATCATACACTCCCAAACCCCAGATGCCGCCTAAGGTCCTAAAGCTATCGAAACGATCTCGTTCTCCAGTATCTCTACAAGTTGAAAGACTCCTTTGAGAATTTGGAGGTTTCATGGGGTTTTCTTAAATCAAAAAAAGTTTTGCCAAAATTAACTAGAGGTTTGTAAAAAAATTGGATTGAGTGCAAATTAAATTGCGACTTCTCTAAAATTGGTTGAATTGCATAAAAGATCTATTAGCTTCTAACAGGTCGTTACATCGTATTTTGATTCCTTAAGTTAAAATGAAAGGTTTCCGTAGTGTGTGTGTGTTTTTTTTTTTCAACGAATGAATATTATATGAAATGATGGAATTATTATGTGTCATTGTAAATTTTTTTAGTGGAATTAAAAATAAGAATAGAGGAACCAAGGCTTAGTAAAGTAAAAATAAAAAAAGGAAAAAACGAAAGAAGTATCAATAAATGAACACAAGAAAAAAAAATGTAGATATTTTTCAGAGTAAAAATTATAATTTAGTTATTTGTAGTATAACATTGATACATATAAAGATATGAAATTTTAAAATATAAATTATAACGTTTATATTGTTTTGGTATATTCACATTTATGTGCACATGTTTACATTGTTTTGGTATGTTCACATTTATGTGCACATGAAAGTTTGCGTTTGAAAATATTTTTTAATTCTTTCACTTTTGGTTTTGATTTTTTTTTATTTTAAAAATGTATAAAATATTAATTAAAATAAATATTAAATATATTTGATAGATTTTTAAAATATTAAATGATAAAAAAACATATAAGTATAGGTCAATACTATTAAATGAAGCAAAAAACTTAAGATTTTAAAATATACATGAAAACATTTGAAATTTGCATGAAATGCACGTAATTACTTGGAATTTTTTGAGATATCTTAATGCATAATTAAAAGATTGGTAGGAAATAAGGATAATATAAAGCAAATAATTTCAGAAAACTGAAAAGGGCTTCTTTCGCTTGCAGGGTCCATTCTGGGTCTGTTAATTACCATGTTAGCAAGTTTGTTATAGTAGTATTTAATTCCCCTTTTGACGAAAGAACGATAGGTGAACAATTTCAGAAAGGTTAGGGATGACGTTAAAAAAAAAAAAAAATGAAAGAAAGGTTAGGGATGACAGTTGACTTGAAATAAAGGTTACCGAAAATGGTTTTCCGTCTTAGAAAAGTTAGCGATGACGGGAATTTATCTTTTATTTTTTTAAGCGATAAAAAATAATATTTATAAATTATAAATGAACGAATTTTCAACTTTAATAATTTGTCCACAAGTTTTAGTATTTAAATTCAGTTTGTCAGAACTTTAGTTTTCATTAATTGCTTAAAAGATATTTTACTTTTCTCATGATTCTCCATGTAAGAAAAAAGTACTTATAAATGTTGTTTCACATTCCATTTTCTTAAGAATAATATAGTGTAAATGAAAATTAAAAATTAAAAATTTAAATTAATAATGTGGTATAAATACATTATTAAATTAACTAATATACATAATATTATAAGTTCAAAAAATTAATTATTAAATAATATAAATTTTATTTTTTTTAATATTTTAAATAATGTGTTGTATATTATGAATTTAAATTTTAGTTTCAAATTTTAATTTCATTTATTATTGTTTATCATTATTCTTTTCTTAATAGTTGCTTAGTTTTTAAAACGCTTGCCTTTAATTTTTAGTTAGTGTAAGAAGTTAAAATATGGACATTCTAAGCCATTAAAATCTTTCCAATAGCAGGTAATGGTAGCAAAAGAGAGTGATAGTTGGTGGTTAATGGATAGGGGAAGGTAAATGATGTAAAATGGGTAATAGATAGTAAATAATAAATTTTAATTGATATAATTATTTGATTATATAATAGTTAATAGTTTTTGTTTAAAGTTAAATAATTGCTAAATATATATTTAAAAATTCAATATATGATTGATATATTAATAAAAAATAATAATAATAACTTTCTTTAAAGGTTAAATGTTAATTTT